CTCGAAGCCGTTGACGATGTGGTCGGCAGCATCCCCGACCCGCGCGCGCGCGTCGTCCTCGGTCCCGGGAGGGAACTCCTCCAGCGCCATCCATGGAGAGAAGTTGGGGTCCCGGGCCTGGTAACTCGCCAGCACGAGTTCGACCGCTCCCCGCGCGAGGTCCCTCGAGGATGACTTGATGGTCTTCTCAAGCTCCTCGGGGAGTTGTTCGAGAACCCAGGCCATCCTGTTGAGGTGCGGAGCGAGGCCTTCCAGATTGGTGGGGGGCACCGTCGTCTGGCCTTTCCAGAGGCCCGCTTGCCGACCGGCGCGCTTCAGGCGGGAGACCGCATCCCAAAGCATGCCGGGCCCAATCTCGCCCGCCAAGCGAAGGGCCTCGGCCTCCCCGGTGGAGGAGTCCAGCGCTCGCTGCATATCGGCGACGGTGTGTTCGGCAGCTACGAGGCGGGCGGCTAAGTCGCTTTCGCCCGCGGCCGCCCCACCGATATGCGCCCTCGCGTCCAGCTCCTTTTCCCGTGCCTCGAGGTCAGCAGCCCGCTGCTCCAGTGCGGCTCTCTCGGCGCGGACGCATTCAAGATTGCGGCGCGCCTGCTCCTCCTGCGCCGCCTCGCGGAGGGACAGGCTGTCCGCCAGCCGTTTGGTCGTGGCCTCAGCCTCCTCGAGAGCTCGCTCCCGCTCAGCGAGTGTGTCCTCGCGGAGGCGGAGCGCGCACTCCTCCTCGGCGCAGGCGGCCTCGTGCGCCGCCAGCGTCGCCTCCCGGAGAGCAGCGGCGGCCTCGCGGTCCGTCAAGCCTTTCTCCACGGCGCCGGCGTGTTCTTCCAGCGCCATAGCACGGGCCTCAAGGGACTCCTCGCGCCGCCGGGACGCCGCCTCAGTCTCTGTTACCCGCCGCTCTCGGGCAGCGGCGGAGTCAAGGACTCCCTGGGCGGCGTCGAGCTTTTCTTTCAGCTCCGCCTCCCGGCTGGCGTTTTGAAGGCGGAGGGCGTCTTGCGCCTCAATCATCGTGGTGGTAGCGATGAGGGCGGCCGCTCGCTCCTCCTCCACCTCACGAGCGATCTCCGTCAGCGCCGCCTTCCGGGCTTCAAGCTCCGAGACGTGACGGCGGTGAGCTTTACGGCCCACCTCCACCATGGCGTCCACCGAGCGCCGCCCCTCCTCAACGCGTGCCCATGCGGCCTCGAGCTCCGCTCGTTCCGCGCGCAGGGCCTCCACTTGGGCGCTGAACCCATCTAGCACCGCGGTGTTTGCGGCGGCCAAGGCCTGCAGAATGGGCTCGGCGCTCAGCGGGGCGACGGAAGATGAGGAGAAGAGCCGCCTTGGAGAGAAGGCGATGCGGCTCGGCCCCCCGGAGGACGTGCTGGGCTCGGGGATGTCCCCCGGACCCGTTTGATCCTGGGCGTCGCCCGGAGAGGTGGGCCCAGGCGATGTGCCCGCGGCCTCGTCGCGAGCCTCCCTGGAGGCTGTCGCCTGAGGGTTGCCCGAGGGAGTGGGCCCAGTTGACGCGCCAGCAGCAGCTGTTGCCTCAGCCTGGCGAGCCCGGGCGGCCTCCTCCTTAGCGGCTTCCTCAGCCCGGGCGGCCTCCTCCCGAGCAGCTTCCTCCGCTTGGCGAATCCGGGCGGCCTCCCGGGCGGCCTCTTCAGCTTCCCGAAGGCGGTCTGCGGCTTCACGCCGGTCAGATTCTCGCCTCCGCTCCTCTGCGGCCGCTGGATCTTCGGCCTCGGACTGGCCGGACTTGGGGTGGCGGGAGGAATGCGACGGGACATCGCTGAAGCAGAAGAAAAAACCAGAAGACGAACAAAATGAGAGTGAGACGAACCTGCGAGGGGGTCGGTTGAATGACCACCTTGGAGGGGAAATCAGGTTTCCCCGGCATGGTTCCGTCTCCCCCGTCTTGCGGAGCCGTTTCTTCTTGCGCTCCCCCTCGGGCTGCGACGTCGGCGCGGCCCCCTCCGGGCGCCGACTGCTGGCACGCGCCGCCCCGCCCCCTCGGGGAGGAGATGGGGGAGGTGTTCCTCCCAGCTTCCTCTTCCCCTGGGCGTCGGCAGGGCGGCTGCTCCCCGAGCCTCCGACGCGGGGCCCAGAAGCACGACCCCCTCCTGGGGCAGATTGTTCCCCCCGGCGGCGCTCGCCCGCGCCGTCGTGGCCCTTAGGGGCTCTCTCCTCTGAGGCCCCGACCCCCATCATAATGGTTAGAATGGAGGCGCGGTCGGGATCGCTGCAGAGGGGGAGGATCTCCTGAGGAATGCGAGACGCCTCCACGGAGCTAAGATTCAGCACCCTTTGGACCACGATCTTGAAGTCCTCGGGAGCCCAATCCCATCTGGCTCCCTGGTGGGTCCGCATGTAGTCTTCAGGCCCAGTGTACTCCCAGGCGCTCCGGGCGCGCCGTTGGAGCGGCGCAATCCGGCGACGGAGGTAATCGCCGTACACCATGGCCCCGGTGAGCCCCTGGGATCGCAGGCCCGCCAGGCGGTCGAGGACGGCGTCGTAGTCCTCCCCCAGATCTACCGGCGCCCGCCAGCTGGAGACCTGCGCCGGGGGCTGGCTTGGAAGTCGGAGGCGCGCTTCGTTGGCGAGGGGGGTGTAGAACCAGTCGCTCTTCCAGTCGTCCCACTTCTTGCGGAGGACGCAGGGGATGTAGCGGTTCAACACCGGCCCCCGCGGCTGGAAGTAGCAGCCGCCAACCACCGACGGCGGTGACACCGACTGCACGGTGAAGAACCACCGGAACAGCTGAAGAGAGGGGCGCACCCCAATGAACATCTCGCACAGGTGCGCGAAGATGGCCAATGTCATCACCGCATTGGGGGTGAGGTGCGCCATCTGGAGATCGTAGAACTCCAGGACATCCATGAAGAAAGAAGAAAATGGCGGGACCAGCCCAGCCATTGCGAAGGGGAGGAAGAAGATGGACCGCCCCGGGTAGTCTGGTGCCGGGCGCCCCTCGCCCAGCATCACTATCTCCCGACCGGTGGCGGACTCCGGCATGAAGCGGCGCGGCAGTCCGGCGTGCCTCTCGCTCACGATGCGGGAAGGCGGTAGTACACTGCCGTCGAGCAGAGCAGAGCCCCGTGCCATGGCGGTGGAGGAAGAGATGATTGAGAACGAGCGCGTGTGGCGAAAGTAGGGCGTAGCAGAGAAAGAGTTAGAGCTCAGGCGGCGAAGGCAAGAGGAACAATGGCGAAAGGAAGGAAGCAAATCCTTTTCTCGATGCTTTTATACCCTTGCCATCGCTGGCCCTGGCTCCTCGTTTCTCGCGCCCACTACCTCGCTCCCTCGTATCTCGCTATCTCGCTCCCTCGTTTCCCGTGCCCACGCTTCCACTAATCCCATTCGCCCGCTTACGGCGCAGGAAGTGGATATGCGGTTGTGGTAATCGAAATGGATTGTATCGTGCGCGCGTTAATTACGCTCGCCGACTGAAGCGGCGTTACCGTATCTCCGGGCGAGACAAATCTGCTCACCCAGATTCGCGCGCTGCTCAAGTGGTGTGGCAGTCTTGAATAGACCGCCCATTATGGACAACCAAAGTTACCAATACCAATGTGCATGGATTGAGACCGTTGGGTATTTTGCCCAACTACGGAGACCGGTCCCACCTGTCACCAGGCTTTAGGGGTGGCGTCACACCTGACCGCTTCCCTTGGGAAGGGAAATTGCTCTGGCATAACGCCGGGGGCTACTGTCGGTGATATGGGACCGGGAGTATCATGACCAGAGGCTTGAGGCAGACACAATCGCCCATGTGGCCTGGCACCTTCGGGGACGTCGGGCCCGAGGGTGAGGTGTCCGCCCTCCTCCTGATTTCCCCCGAGGGGGGGGGGTCGGGTTGCGCTTGCCCGGCCCCGAGGGCCGAGGCACCCCGACCCCTTAAGGAAGTCTGCGCCACATATATGGGATAAGTGAGCACAGCTGTGCTCACCTAACAGCATTTATTGCAGTCTGGTCAAGCGTGTCACGCTGCATGCAACGCAGTACAGCGCGTTCCTTTATCCGGTCTGTGACCAGTCACAGACCGGTCAGATCACGGGTTAGGTGGCGACTGGCGGTCTGACGCACGCCTTGCCCCATCCCGTCAAGACGAAAGCCTCTAGGCACTCGTCTCAAGCCGGAGCTAGCGTGTTATCTCTTAGAGATGGCACGTTAGCCCTGGTCAGATTTATACCAGGCTTCATCCTAACCATTACAGGCAAGGTGTTACACGAAGAAGGGCAAACATGCACGTTGTTAAGCTGACGCGTGGTGGACAAGAATGACCGGTCTGGCACTGGTCGCGTCATCGACAGACAGCCACGGTCCCGCGTCATCTCTGTCTTCGGGGGAGGTGGGGGTAGGTGTGGGCTGTCCCATCAGAAGGGCTCCCGGATGGAAACCGTACCGATCTCCGCCCATTAAAGAGAAAAAGAACAGTCCAGTTTAAAAAGAGAAAGGTGCATGTGGTATCCCCTTGAGATATAAAAGGAGGACCTTGCCCATTTAGAGGGGGTTTTTTTTCCTTTTTTGGAAGGCTGAGGGGAAAGGAAGTTAATCCTTTGTAACTTGTCCATACACAAATCCACAAAAACACAGGAGTAGGGTATTACGCTTCGCAGCGGCCCGAACCTGTATACATCGCCGTGTCTCGTGTGTCTTGCGGGCGGGTGATTTTTCCACATACAGAGAGAGAGAGAGAGCTTGGGATTGCACCCTAAGCCCCTTTTCGAACCGGCAAAGGGGGGCTTACGCAGTCTCCCGGTGAGGGGCCACGAGCTCCGTCACACGTGCAATATCCTGATTTGCTATTGGCTAGGAAATAGTGGGGATGGTGCATGCATAGAGTTTGTTGCTAGAGTAAATATAGTATGAGAGAGTTATTAGCTTTTTTTGGTCTTAGTGTACCTATGAAATATGTATATCAATTTGGAATGGATGGAGTACTAACAAACACACAAAAAATTAAAAATAAATAAATATTGCCTGCAGAAGAATGCAGGAGGAAGTCATTCTTTCAGTTCAGTTACCTTGAGAAGAGCAGCAAGTGCAGACTTGAATTCGGCCCTTACGGCTAGAAATTCCTCCAGGGGTTCATCATCCCCTGATGCAACGGCCCCATGTATGTTCTCTCGTAATCCAGGGCCTAGGTTAGGTTTTACAGAGTTAACCCACTCTGCATGGTTTGCTTTGAACTGAGACCTGAAATGCACACAGTTTTAGTGTTTTATTTGATCTCCCTGACTCCCCGTCCTATATTGCAACTCTGGCTAGTGAACTAGTACAAATCTTATCACTAGACAACGGATATGCCGCTAACAATTATCAGATTTATCTGCCTGAATTATGAACAAGATGGTTGGTGCACCAGAGTAACAGTAGAATTCCAATTAAAACTGTTTGGCATGGTATAACCTTAAATAAATACAGAGTATTACCAGCAGCATTACTGGTTACCTTAGAGAAATGTTACTACACTAGCAAAATGCTCATGCTTTGCCATTGGTAAAATGTCCATACTTTGCGTTGCTTATGCTTATTTGAATATAAGTTACTCACTTTATTCAAACAAACATTAGACTATTACATAAAAATATCAGGAGCTTATTTGTAAAACATTTTGTCTTTTATAGTAGTATAGATAAAGATATCTTGATTGAATAAGTTGTAAGTGAGACCTCAGAAGGCTGAACATGACATGTGAAATGACAGAGAGAGCTGGCACGGAAGGTAGTTCGCTTTCAGAGAAGTCAGCAATGAACTTCCCTATGCTTGGAACATTGTCAGAGACGAAGTCTCCAAGGTTGGCATTGTCTATTGCGTGACCTGTGAAAAAAAATCCCCATCAGACAAGATGTATGGTAGAAAGCAAGAATTTTATAATTGTAAGCTACAACATGAGTCAATAGACGATTTGGTATTACTCACTACCAAATTTCTTGGCTACTGAAGCATTGACGATTTGATATGTATGGTCATCAGGAGACCCTAAGATTTGGAAACAGTCCATGGGAATTGTGACATGAGTTGGGTGCTTGACAGTGTCATCAGGAAGTGGCAACAACACTTTGGTTACACGAGACAACGTAGATAGATCTCTGGCAAACCAACCTGCATAAACAATAGAGTTTTTCAGATAATGGAAATGATTCACATCTCCAGTCTCTACCAACAGGCTCAAAACCACTTAGTCTAAAAACGATAAATAAAAATACTCGAGGTTATTTTCCCTCGTAATGATATCCAATTTGAAAAAAAAAGAAGAAAACACATAGATTCAATCTATAACGATGATATATAGGAACTAGGCCAATTGCATAAGCAACAATTGCATGAAGAAATCAGAAAAACTCATCAATCAGCACCACTCTGAATAGTTGTCATTAATAACAGTTGCTTGTTTGCTCCTCCCTGTGATTGTGCTATAATTTGACCAGCATAATTATGCAGTAAAATCAAGTGTGTAAATTTGACCAACAAATTATACAAGTATATAGATGCAGTAGAAGACATTAATCAATTAATGGTAAGAGGGAAATGGAAGTGAATAGTAATAATAATTACCAACAGTATCAAACATTTGTGCCATGGGGATGACGTTTTGAGCGGAAACGAGGCCATGGGAGGTGCGGAGGCCGAAGATGCCGCAGTAGGCAGCGGGCACCCTGACGCTGCCGCCGGTGTCGGTGCCGAGGGAGAAGTCGACGAGGTTGGCGGCGACGGCGACGGCGGAGCCACTGGAGGATCCGCCGGGGACTCTGCCGGGGGCGCACGGGTTGGCCGGCGTGCCGTAGTGCGCGTTCTCGCCATAGATGCTGCGTTGTTGCGGCCAAGAAATTCAATCGGATTAATTCTTGGATTTCTTATATATATACCCCTGACCTACCTGTATGCCATCTCGTCCATGATGGTGGTGCCGAGGCTGGTGGCGCCGGCGGCGAGCGCGGCGAGGACGACGGGGGAGGTGGCGGCGGCGGGCGCGTGGGTCCTCGCCCAGTCCGGGTTGCCGAACCCGGTGACGCGGCCGGCGATGTCGAAGCTGCGAATTAACCAAACCAAATCAAACAGTGAGTCGTCGTCGTCGCCGCCGTTCTTCATTTGAGCGAGCATGAGTAGTACAGTACATGTCCTTGATGGCGAAGGTGAGGCCGTGCAGGGGGAGTTGCTGCGACGACGGCGGCGGCGGCGGCGGCAGCACGAACCTCTCCATGAAGGCGCCGAAGTCTTCTGCCATGGCGTCGCGACGCGTCACTCTCACTCGGCGGCTACCGCTTCGATCACTTGGTCCTCCACTCCTCCTCTGCTTAATTTATTAAGGCGGCAGAGCGGCTGGGCCTGGGCTGCACGGCGGCGGCAAATGGAGGCCCAATTAGCAAAACAGCAGAATATAGGTACTGTATGACTGAATTATATTCCTTAACATTAAAATATATATTTACGATCGGAACAAGTTTTTTTTTTTTTGAGTAACAAATCTGGTTAAAGATAGGAAGTGCAATGCTTGGAATCAAATGTACTCTAAAAATGTACACGGCCGCTACAGGTGGCGTGTCAGTATTGTTGTCACGCCAAGCAGGCTGACAGTTCAGATTTTAGAAATAATTTTTGAAAATATTATTTTTTAAAATCAAAAAGGTTCAAAAAATAAAAAAGCCTAGTTTCGACAAGATCAGCACGATGGCACAACACTGAGGCAATATAACGAGTTGGTTTGGTTTGTGGCCTAAATAGGTCATTGCCAAATTTTAGTAATTTTTGGCATGACTAATTTTGGTAATGCAAAGTTATGTTTGGATTAAAGCCAAAATAGCCTAAGTTCACTATTGAAATGGCCTATTTTTTTAGGCATGCCAAAATTTGGCTTCAAAGCAAATAGATACTAAACACTATTAAAATTGCTAAATATTGGTAAGTCTAATTTAGGCCTCGAACCAAACCAGCCCAACATAACAGCAGAAACTATTTAGAAAACTTCGCGTGCATACGAAAGTCCTCATTGGGGATAGAGGGAACAGAATTTTCACCGAAATAAAAATTCCTTCAGAAATGAAGCGGATTTTTTCTTTTGGCGGTCCAAGGGAGTCATAATCCCTTGTCACGGTAATTCCCTCATCACATATTACTAGTAGCAGCTCTCTATGTTTAAATAAACATGAATTGTGTCGTTTGGGTGAAGCAAAATCATGCTGCTCCCCTACACCGCCGGTTCAAGTAAACATTATCAGGCAGCATGGAGCTCCAAGGCTGGGCACAAGCTTTGAAGAGAGATGAATGGTGTTAGCCGTTTTCAGCTCGATCATAAGCATTGGATTTGTGCTTGGGTGTAAACGTAAACCCTTCTGGAACTTTGCCAAGCAACATCTCTGAGATCCTGATCTGTACGTACATTAGACAAGATATATATTATCAGCTTGTGATAGCTAGTAAAAGATAGAAACCATCCAACACTCAGAACGAGGACAGCTTACCCAGTCAGCTGCTGAATCAGAGATCATTAGGGTTTCAAGATCATCACGGCCACAGTAGCTTGGGGGCCTCCAGTTCAAACGTTGCGGGATCACATCCAACAGGCCAACCGGTATGTAGCGGCAGGTGTAGCTTAGCCATTCTAGTAAAAAATAGCGTGTTGTTTCAACACCTGAAAATACACATGATAATTTGATGATCAAGACAACCCTTTCAAAATCAATTTGATTTCATGCCGAGCATTTCAGTGCAGCAAGAAAAAAAAAACTGTAACTCGATGATGAGCAGATATTATCGCATTCCAGGCCTCACAAAACTCATAATCTGAGCCAATATCTGGCAATAGAGAGAACCTACCTTTGGAATCGGAACCCCAGTGTTCCAGACCAAAACTCACAAAATCTTTAAGAATATTGAATCTCTCGCCAGATGTAATATCCCAGTGCCTTTGTTCTTTAACCTCAGTAAATATCCAAGGCTGTCAGGTGAAAAAAAAAACCATGCATTAGCACAAAATTAGCAGACATGAACTTGAGGGAACAAAAGCCTGACATTACAGCTAGCAATTATAGCATTTTTCTCATGATAGATGTTAAAGTACATATACTGCAGCACCAAACTAACCTTTATGAGTGCACCTCGAGCAATCATGCTTGTCGATATTTTAGAGCAGCCTGAAACATGTTTGTTCCAGTCAGTAAAAGAGAATACATCACCATTTCCAACGACATGCAACTGGTCAGGGGCTTTCTGGGCACACTGGTAAATATAATCCCAATCAGCAAGTTTGCTGTAGCGCTGTTGCCGGGATCGACCATGTACTGTTATGGCTGACGCACCCCAGTCATAGATGTCGGAAACTATAGAATCAGCACGGTTCCTTCCCTCAAAGAAAGCAGTTCTTACCTGGAATCAAGCAACAGAGATCAATATGAGCAAAGCAGTGTTTATTTCCATTTTAATATGTCATACATGTCTTAGCAGCCCCCTCCCCATGTACCTTATCTCTAATTAAACTTTGCATTGATTACCGATCATGAGACATAAAATGTTCAAGCAGGCTAAGTCCACCCATAGATAGTTTTCCTTCCAAAAAGTACGCTAAACATGTAAAATATTTGGTTTTTCAAAGCTCTGATTCTAGTTCAACCCTGTTGACCATAAATGTGACAATGCATTGGCAGATCGACATCTGGATGAAATCACCAGAACTTTTGTCCTCAAGTGCTAATTAGCTCCTAACAGAGTATAACTGAGCTACTGCACCATTACCTTAACAGTTAAAGGTTTTTCAGTAACAGTGGATGCTGCTTGTACAATACTTTTGATCCTCATAGGTTTTGTTAGCAATGATGATCCAGCACCTTTGTTGACAACAATATCAATTGGGCACCCCATATTTATGTCTATGAAATCAACTGAACATTCGTTATCCACAAGTTCAACGGTTCGTGCTACTGTATCTGGATAGGCTCCACAAATTTGCACCCCAAACAAATCCTCTGATGAATGCCGTCGCAGCAAAGCCCACTCTGAAGCTTGTCCCTACATGAAATATATCAATAATAAAGTGTCTCATGAAGAATGTCAAACAGATATATTAACTTAACTTTGCTTTGGTTCAACTTTTTGCAATAGGAGTAAGAAACATGCAATCAGAAACAGGAAAAGCATGCAATGAAACAGGGCAGAGGTAATTTATTTAGTTTTTTAACCTGTAAAAGATTTGTGCACATGGCCATTTCTCCACAAGTAATATCAGCTCCCAAGGTTTTGCAGAGTCTCCGAAAAGGCAGATTCCCGACAGTAGTCAAGGGAGCAAGGTACAACTTCTCCCGAAAATCTATTATCTTCTTTTCACGTAAATGAGGTGTTGTGATTAGGTCAGTTCTACAAGAACTTGAGTTATTTGAGGGTTCCAATCCATTACTCAAATTAGGATCTTCAGATTCTGTGTTAGTGTTGAGAGTACCTAAACCATAATGTTCCAAAAAAGGTCAACACAACAATTCAAAATAAGAGTAATAGATGCATTGAAAATGGCAATCTTAAAGTTCAAGAACAAACCCGCTCCATGTTTGTCAATTTCATCACTTTCAACCTTTGACTTCTTTGTTGGCCTTGGTTCAACACATGGAATTGAGTTATCAATCAAAGGTTCTCCCTCTGATCTATCCAATTCTTCACACAAAGTAGAATCACATTCCGCATTTACAGGAGGATTGCAAAGAGGTTCTTTATTTTCATCATCATTCCCGTCTAGATTATCATGATTAACCTTCTTATCATCATTTGCAGCATCCGGTTTGCTCTTAATGACTTCCTGTATTACAAAGTATATCAAATAGACCCCAAAAATTCAATATTAGCAAATGGAACATTCTAAACTGCACCTCGTGTCTCAGCAGATACATCGACATACATCCTAATAATTCAAGTGCAATATGAACTGCCCTTGTATGATATGAAATATCTAAACCAAGAGAGCTATGACCTACCAAGTGAGCAGTTGCCATCACACGAAATCAATTATTTCCAGGATCTTATCCGTATTTGCTGAATACTAAATACTAACTATTGAAAAGGGCTATGAATAGCACTTGTATTCAACATGAGGGCTCCAGGCCAAATATAGAAAACACAGAAGGAGCATAAAAAGGAACAGAATGGTGGAAGGAAGAAATTGTGCAGAGCTCTGCTCTGCTCATTTGTCAAGAAATCAGCCAACTGAAGCTCAGAGGGCACATACTGCAACACAATAACCTAACAAACAGCTGTAGCATACTCCATCCATACAACTTAGCATGGAATATTTTCATGTTGAACACAAACCAAGAAGGCATTACAATGACTAGGTTGCCCCCTAATTATTCTATCACTATCCAAGTGCTACATCAAATGAATTATAGAATACAAGGTAAAGATAAATATTTATTAGGGATACAGAGGAAACAACACACTTTTGCATTGGGATACAAAATAAGCCCTATTGATGGACATGATTATTCAAAAATCTGCCTGGAAAACATAGATAGGGGTAGTACATGATCAATTCTGTTATATGCATTTATAAGTACGACCAGGCTTTTCATTAACTATTAAACAGGCTCCATTGGCTTCCCAACACAACACATCTTCTACCGTTTTTGCCACCACCAAATATACACTTATTAAGACACTAGCGAAAATGTTTTTTGGCAGATACATAAAACAGTACTCAGGAGTAGCATACAAACAACTCAGAGTCCTCGCTGAATTGCAGTTGGCACCAGTTCAAACAAGAAGCAACCACAATATATTTCATCCATGACAAATCAACAATTACAAAGAGCAAGTTTAGAAATGCAAAGCATAATACTTAAGGTGTTCCATTTTTCCACACCATTCGTTGGACATGATAGTAATTGTTATTATTTGCTACCATATAATTTGTTCTGAAAAATAACATAGTAACTCAGTTTTACAAATTTCAGCAATAATTGTATGTGGAAAGAATAAATTTCAAGCATTGATGCATCAGAATGTTTGCAGTGCAAGTGTGCAATGCACTAATTTGCTGCAAAGGAGCACCCATGCCAGTTCAAGCATCAAGTTTCCCTAGTTAGAGATACATTGTGATTGGAGATGCATCACAATTATCTACAACCATAATTTCTTCACGGCTATAGAACTAAGGGCTACCATATGTATTTGGTAACCGTGTTTCTTTAAAGGGTTAATTGGATCCATGCCACTGCAACTTTGATAAATTAAAAAAATGCCACTACTATTCATCATATTGGCTACATGCCACTGGAAATTTCTAAAATTGAAACCATGCCACTC